TACATATACATATACATATACATATACGTATATATATATATGCGTATGTAATGCATATATATACAACGAACGCCGTAAGTCACCCTCGACCAGGCTACATACTTCTCTTCGGACTGGGCTTTACCAGCCTCTGCCCTGAGGTTAAGGTTGTTGGGTAAGAACTGCACCTCCACATCCAGGTTACCACCGGTGACTGCTTTGACCTTCGCCACATGGCCGTAGTAGCGCTTGCCTACCAGGAACACATCTGAGTCTAACGGGTAATGATCCTTCAACGACAGCACCTGCATGTGTATGTGGTGAAGGGGGTGTTGTGTTGGTTAGTATACATATACCCGCATGCCAGCGAGGAGTATGGGCACGTGTACATAATGCATTCTAGAATGCGTATGGGTATGTATGGATGTATATATACATATGCGTGCGTCTGTGTTCAGTGTGTGCTTGTAGACTATAATGAGCCGTTGCTTACCAGTACTACAGCAGAGGCAAGTAGACTAACAGCACTTCACTGACACCCTCGCACCCACACTCCACAACAAACCTAATACACTCTAGTAACAAAAGTAACCTGCATCTACCCCAACCACACAATGTACGTGTTTCAAATCCAACACATACAACAATGCGTCTGTGCCTCACAACACCCTTACTTATATCTCAACAACTGATGGCACCAGTGTCCGCAGCAGACACACAACTTGAGCACGCCGAGTAAACCACAAATGCCCCACAGCAGGACGGCTTACCCAATCCACGGACGTCTATTCATGCGTGACGTTACATTCGCACTGCTACATATAACAGCATCGATGGAGTACAGATACAGAAACTCCGTGACAAATCAGGGCCCAATCGGTCAGTCTAAGTTGGAGTGTTAGCATGGGACTACCAAACATTTGCAATAAACATGTACGAACCAAGTGTGACACACAATACACAGGGCATGCGCACCAAACATGTACAAACCAAGTGCAACACACAATACACAGGGCATGTGCACCAAACATGTACAACCCAAGTGCAACACACAATACATAGTTCCTTTTAACAGCCTGTACATATGCGGAAGGGCAGAGTATCTGCACAGCACACACACGTTTATTTATTTATTAAACAAGTCCAACAACGCAGTGTATTCTACTGGTCTGGAGGAGACTGTCTGCAGCACCATATGGCACAAGCGTAAGTGCTACTATCACATACTACTGTTGTGAAGCCGTGATGAAGGTAAGCGTATAGTTTGTGACTGAAGATCACACTATCATTGAATACATAGACTGAGAAATGGCTAAGGTAGGCTTATAGTTTGTGACTGAAGATCAGATCCACTATCATTCAACACGGGGAGTGTGGGATTACACACAACACAGTTCTAACAGACGTACCTGTCTGAGGAATGGCTGTTCATCTGCCACTACACATTGTACCAACGACGGCGTTGCCTCGGGAAGGAATTTGGTTGCCATGACAACCTTCTTGTCCACTACAACGTACTCCAGGCCTTCGCTCTGTCGCACATACAACACCACTGCCGCATCCAACACCTATGACATACATGTATAAATGCAAATAGCGCTATGGTGAGAATCTGAACTATACATATATGATTAGGAATCAAACATACTTTAGACACACACACACACATACATACATACATACACCACACACCCATCACACACACCCACGCACACACACCCACGCACACACATATATATATATATATATATATATGGATATACGCATATACATATTTCCAATATAGTATAATAATGAAAAAATAATATAATAATAATAATGTTAATATTGAAATAATAATAATAATATCAATAATATGTACATACATACATACATACTTACTTACATACGAACATACAAACAT